GGCTCACCGCCCACACGAGCGAATGTAATGCGCGACCCCGAAGGTGCGTCCGGTTTAAACCCGTAGTTGATATTGGATACTTGCGAGAATCGGCCCTCGAGTGCAGGAAGCTGGCTAACCCCATTCTCGAGTGCAGCCAGCAATGCATGGCCACGGACGCGCAATAATACCACGGGGTCTTCGAAAGGGAAGCAATTCAGCAGATCCTTCAGCTTCAGTATTCCTGGCGGGTATATTTGATCGCCACGGATTGTGCCGCCCGCCATCATGGCACAATCAGCCGCATAGTAGAAGCGCATCAGGTCGCAGACAAAATTACCCAAATTGGATTCACGCTGTCGCACAGTAGAAAACCGGCCATCGAGCGGGCTGACTGTAAATCCGACTGGTTTGTCTAGTTTGGCCTTGAGGCTGGAAGTGAGCCGAGCCACCATTGCCACTGTAGCAGGATCTTCGGGAATTGAGCGAACAATATCTCGCCGTGTAATGTTAAAGTCCCAACCAGGTAAACCATCGGGTTTGCGGAAAGCTTCGATGTAACTGAACTGTTTAAAGTCAGTCCCTGACCGCATCACGTGGATTCCATTGACGACGGCATGGGCGTAAAAGTGATCGTGGCCTCCGAGAATGACGTCCACAAGATCGGGTGAGAGGTTGTTTGCTAGTTTGTAGTCATTTGGTTCACGTTGGTGGGTGACAGCGATGACGAGGTCGGCTCCCTCATCTCGGAGCTGTTTCGCAAGTACCCGAGCTGTTTGAGATGCGGATTTGTAGATCAGGTCAGGCGGAAGAGAGTTTATTGTGCCGAGCCTAAGGTAAACCCGAGTAAGCAAAGAAATAAAGTCATCAGTAGATGCAATCTAGTAGCGCATACCATTCTCTTTCCCCAAGACCTAATACGCCAATCTTGAGCCCATTGGACGAGGTCAACATGCGAGTCTTCCCGCAGTCAGCTATTGGAGTATCCTCCCCTAGTGCCGGGTCAAGAACGTTCGCCAGAAGCCAAGGGAAGTGACATTGACTAGCCAAATGGCGGAATTGAACAACTCCAAAATCGAGATCATGATTCTAGATGCTTGAATTAGCGGTGTACATGTGCCTGGCGGGCCGCTGGTTGCCATACTCACACCCACACACGCTACATCGGTGCCCACTGTGTTGAGGAATGGTACCATATGTCTACCCTTTGTGATTGTACTCTCGATACTCGGGTTGAAAGCGTCGCCGGAGAAGAAGGTCAGGATATCGGGCTGCCCGGCGAACTGTGGGTGGTAACGGTAGTGATTTAGAAGGTATTGGAATCGAGACACCCCGCCGACGGGCTCTGCAGAGCCGGATCTATAATAACATAATTTAATATCGCTCTAAGTTGAAGATTATAGAGGTAGAAAGAGCAAGGAGGGAGAGATGAGCGCATACTCAACATGGTAGACATCATTATAGTGGATCAGTCGTAGATCCGGAGACCCAGTTCGGTCAGCGGAATAAGTGACGGAGAGACCGTCTGTTTCGATATTTGACATGGAAATCCCGAGGTTCTGGAAATGTTATGAGGAGATACTTGAAAGGAAGAGAGAGAGAGAGAGAGAGAAAGAGAGGGGAGGAGTAAAGGAGAGGGACAAACATGAGGGGAAGCTTCGGGGCCGCGGCATTGGTGCCTGGTAGATGCCTGAGGGTTGGGGTGTCAAAGTAATTAACTATAACTAGTTAACTAACTAGTTAATTAGACCACTTGAATATAAAAAAAAAGCAAAGTCCACAACGCCATGCAAGAGGTATCTTAAAATCCAATAAAGAGAATGGTATCACAGCTTCTGTTCCGCCACCGTCCATCGCCGCTTCGTTCCAGCTTCACGATCGCCCAATGGCTGAGCACTCCCCCATAAACCACGCTGCGACACTGTTCGTTGTGGTAACTGCTTCGTCCAACCAAGATCTGCAGCGTTATCAGACCTATCAGGAAGTGTCAAATCTTGATTACTGACAGGCTGGTCACCAAAGTTCGGCACTAGGTTGTCCTCTGCGTCCGCTTTATCAGTGGGTGACGAGATTGAGTTCCAAAGCCCAGAGGCACCTTGAGAAGTAGACGAGCTAGTGGATGGGCGCATCGCTAGTGTCCATGCCCGAGGGCTAGTACTAGGTGGCCCGTTTGTTAATGTTTCCTGGAGAAGCGATGGGCGAGCGCCAAGACGATTCCGATAGGAAGGGAGCGGAGGCGGTGAAAGTACGGGGACGGAGGGAGATGTCAGCGAGGTGAGCTGTGAGGGGTTCATTCCTGGGCGTAGATGATCTGTCGACGCCACAAGCTGCAGGGAGTATTCCCGTGACACCGATTGGTTGTCTGGGCCCGGGGATTTAGGCGTGTGATCCATGTCATGCACAGGTTTATTGACACGGTTGCGTCGCACAGCCATGGTGAGTGAAGCTGTGTTAATATCGAGTAGGACCGAATGTCCATTCAACGAACTGATCAACGCATTGCAATCTGCGCCATGTGTGATAATAACGAGGACCGTTTGTGTATTATCATCATTTATTTTGGTGGACTCCGCTGTAGAACCGTGGTCAGATAGATCCTGTTCCCGGTACCAGTCAATCATGTGCTGAAATCCATCATGCACCCGTTCGTGCATGGTACTCCATTCCTCGCCGAACTCGCCCCCTGTGCCCCAATAAGGCATACGCATACTGTCCCACTGGTAGTCGATCCTCGTACATGCGTTCCGTGCATGAGCAACATAGCCTGTAGGAATGGGATCTGAGGTGGAAATGGCGTAGGTGGGAGTTGGAGGCACGTAATATGCATCTAGAGTAGACGGCAGGTCCGTTTCCAGGCGACCGAGAGACTTCTTTGCATGCTTGAGATGGATAGGGTTCTGCAGTGTGTCATGAGTGCTGGCACGCTGGCGCTGAGATGTTGTAGAATGCAAGCCCCGCTCCTCACCATCCGGCGAAGTAGGATGCGACTGGCTGCCCCAACCGCCAGGAAAGTGGCCTGACAACGCCCTGGTCAAACCATCGGTGGCTGGGATGCCCTCGGCACGACGGAGTAATTCCCCTTTGGCAGACGCCACCATTCTGTCCGAGCCCGGCGGGGGCGTGATCTGGTCAAAGTAGTCGGGTGATAGCCATTCGCCCAGAAAGGCGTCGACACGAAGCAGACATCGCTGGTCAGGGGTTGATGAAACTGTGGAGACAGTGGGAACTGGACTAGTTTCTGCGGATGCTTCTGTACCCGAGGCTTGTTGGTGGATACCGGCACTGACTCCTATTGCAGTCTGCAGGCATCGAAGGTAAGGAGAGGTATGGACAATGACGTTATATCGTTGGGATAGGTCCGAAGATGCGGGGGTGGGTTTTGCCTGTTTATCCGAGGTCGGATGATGGCTGCGCTGATTCTCTGGATCTTCCCCAGTGAACTGTCGGGCCCTTAGTAAACTTCCTATACGCACACCAAGTGCCCGAGACTGTATCCATCCACCGTAGGAAAGAGGTGGATCGAAAGGGCTTGGAGAGGTTAAGTGCCAATCTTTGTCTGCAGCATCGAGGCGGGCGCCATGTCTAGAAGGCGAGTGAGCAGAAGCAGGAGGACTCCAATAGAAATAAATACTCACCTGGCAATAAATACAATAGGTGGTGATTTTGTCATGGAGGTCAATATGTGTCCTTGGACCCCCGCGTCACTTGTTTTTTTTTTTTGTTGGTCCGCGGGGAAAATGTAGCGTAGCGTTAAGGCCGTCTGCTAGGTTCGCGAAGAACGAAGCAAAATGGAAACAAGGAAAAATATCATGAAAGGAGCCGTATGGCTGGTCAACCTGGTATTGCGAATAACATTATTGAAACTCGCGATGAAAGAAAGGCAAAAGCAAAGCGAAAGGTGAAAGAACCTGGGGGTGCCTGGGGCAGCTGCAGATGCAGGTGGCATGTGATGCTGACTAACAACCCCTCATCCAGCCCTGCGACAGCCTGGAGAGAGTACTTGATAATTAACTAGTTAACTAACTAGTTTAGAACATTGAACATATGGCATCCCATAGGAAATAATGGATTGAATCCAGGTAGATCAGATCAAGTTAGCAATTGGAATACCTGATTTGACCAATACTTTCAATCAAAAATAAGTAGTTCTTTCCAATATAGATCAATGCTTCCAAGCTTTAATCTGATGATTTGGTGTAATAGGAGACTGCATATACTGCTTACAACAGTACTTTACACCAGAGTACACCTTTAAATTCCACGAGTTTGTCAGATATCAAAAGTTACAAAAGATTTAGATTGACATCTCCAATTCCATCAGATCGGGAGTATGATCTCAATCCAAAGAAGATACCCGCATAACATAAAAATGACGAGACGTTTAGCCAACTAGAAATGTCTCAGTCTCAAATGAAACCACCAAAATCACTCTCCAGAGGACCATCTTCGTCAATGTGGTGTGTATGGCATAGTTCATGATTCAAGCTGGTCTCAGCATTTCCATTCCCCTAATCCATATATCATCGGCGATAGCTTCAGTACCACCAATCCTGCCAATCTTACCTGGCCTCTCTATCTTTGGCATTGTGTCTGTCGATCATACCTACTAAACACAGGTGTTTGTGGTGACCTAATGATGTTAAATATTACACTACATAAGATATCTGCATTTTGTTGCTCTAATTAGTTTGCTTATCTCCACTTCATAGGAAGATGCATACGGAGAATTCCCATGAACTGGCATACCAATCAAGGGATATGAGAGGTGGCAGGTGGAATGTAGATGTCACGCTAAACATGGGAAAGATATGCTTCACACATTCCATTGACGTCAGATTTCTGGCTGCAGACGTCAAAAGGTAGAGATGTAGTTATATAGGCAATGGGGCTTGTTTTCAGACCTTCTATGACCAGCGCTAGACTTATGATTCACTCCCTCCCCATCACCTCAACCCAGACTTACAAACTGGATTGACAAGCTTGAATTTGAATTTCAAATTCCGAGAGTCCTCTCGTCGAACATGCGTCTGCAATTGATTTCTATGCTTTTCATGGGAACCGTGATTGCCATTCCCTATGGTGGTCGAGAAGTAAGTCTCTGTTGTCTAAGGTTATATTCCATTGGTGATCTTGCTGACTCTTATCCTAAAGTACCGAAAGGTATCCCTAGTCATTTAAATAATTATCTCGACTATTGTCTAACATGACTTTTAGGATGCACATCAGCCTATAACTTTGACCATGCCCGCATCTACACCAATAAAAAGGACGACTACAGCAGCCCGTACACCCCCATCTCCGTCATTAGATGCCCAAAAGAGAATGTTGCCGTATGAATATGAGTTCTTTTCAATCCATTTTGAGAATATAAGCTCACGTTAAAACAGATTTTGAAGGGTAGGCTGGAATAGACCTCAACCTCTGGTGTTGGTCGATCCTTGATAACACGGGACTTGATTTCCGATGCAGAAAAGTGAACAAAATGAGACAGCTAAACTGCAACTTGAAAGGACGAACATATAACTATATATCCATCATGGATGTCTACATATTCAACTATAACAACTCGGCAATCGCTTTTACCCCAAATGGACATAGCCGGGCCGGAATGAGTAGCCGACCCGGGGCCGACTTCGGGGCCGTTTGCCGTTATCTGATCTTCTACTCCGTATACTTTACTTTATTAGACGCCCATCTTTCTTGTTTCTTGTTTCTTGTGTCTTTTTTCCCCCTTCTTTTTTAGTTTCATATCCTAAGCTATATAACCCGTGGACGGTAATCAAGATGGCAAACAAAAACATCCCCCACTCTTCTCTGTGTGTCAGCACGACAGACTTTGAGAAGGTCGCAAAGAATGTCCTGCTGGAGAAGTCATGGGTTTATGCATCCAGCTCAGCTGCTACGGGCCTGTCAATGAGTACCAATATCGATGACTGGTCTCTGATCAACTTTCGCCCCGGTATCTTGAGGAGTGTGGATTCAATGGACACTCGAAGGAACATCTTGGGACATACCTCCCAGTTCCCCTTCTTCGTATCGGCTATGGGTACGCTGGGTAGCTCACACCCTGGCGCTGAACCCTTGCTGGTGAGAGGAGCAACCCGCAAAGGCATGCATACCATGATCAGTACAGCATCCACGAAGCCCCTCGAGGAGATCATGGATGCTCATCTGGACGAGCAACGGCTACTTAGCAATCAAAGCCCTTCGAACTTGTCATTCCAGCTTTATGTACCTGTGGATCGGACAAGAGCCAAGTCACTCATTCAAAGGGTCAAGGCTGCCGGATACCAAAGCCTGTGGGTTACAGTGGACACTTCAACGCTAGGAAAGCGTACTGCCGATCGTTACCTTCAAGCACAAGAAAATCTCGACGCTGGCTTAGCCGAAGATGCCAGAGAAATTCACGGCGAAAATGACTTTGCGCCAGCGTTCGGGGGTCGCCAGGTTCCCGGTTCGGTAGATGGTGGTCTTACCTGGGAGGATTTGGACTGGATTTCGTCGGAGTGGGGTGGACCACTGGTTCTCAAGGGAATCCAAAGCGTAGAGGACGTGAAGCTGGCTGTCCAACATGGTGTGCAGGGAGTTCTGTTGAGCAACCATGGAGGCAGGCAGATTCATTCCGCCCCAAGCTCATTGATGACGCTCCTGGAGATTCGCACATATTACCCGGAGGCCTTCGACAAGCTCCGGGTGTTTGTTGACGGAGGTCTTCGCGACGGAGCAGATGTCCTCAAGGCGTTGTGTCTCGGAGCGACCGCGGTTGGAGTGGGCCGTCCTTACTACTATGCCCTCGCGGCATACGGCGCCGAAGGAGTGGAAAGATGCACAGATAGTAAGTCGGGACTGGTATTGAAGTCAATTCCAAGCTAACATATTCGCAGTCATCGCCGAAGAACTTGAAATCACCATGAAGATGCTTGGGGTCTCTTCTCTAGACCAACTTTCGCCAGATATGGTAAACACCAGCCGACTATTGAACGAAATGTGGCGACCAGTGTTTGGAAAGTCGAAGTTGTGAAAAAGAAAAAAAAAAAAAAAAAGCTCTGTAGATTTATTCATGAGACCAAAAAGGATCATTGTATTATCTCTCTCTCCCTATATATTTAATTTAATTGAGATTGGTATACTAGAAATGTCATACTCGCTATACAACCCATTCATAAAGAACCCCAGCCACCACCACCGGGAGTGTTGATCACAACCCGGTCGTGTGTCTTCATTGAGACAGTATTTTTGCCACCGATGTTGATACGGCGCTCATTGCCAGTGTCCGGATCCCGCGTGATCCACAGGTTGAATCCGGTCTGTGCATCCTGGCCACCTTCGAGTCCGTAAGGTCGATGGACCCGGCGCTCAGACAGAATCGAACATTGAATTGGTGAAAGGAATTCGATGTCGCGAATCACTCCCTCACCGCCAGGGTTCTTGCCCTGGCCGCCAGAGCCCTCGCGGAGGGTGAACTGGCGGAGCATCGTCGGATAGCGCTTTTCCAGAATTTCAGGGTCGGTGATCCGCGTGTTGGTCATGTGAACATGTATACCGGACTCGCCCTTCCAAGTGGGACCAGCGCCACTTCCACCAGCGATAGTCTCGTAATATCCAAACCCAGGCTTGATGACAGCACCCGTCGACGGATCAAGCTGAGGGTCTGTACCGAAGGTCAAGTTGTTACAGCAGCCCTGAGACGCGGCACAAGCCTGGAAGGCCTTGAACACGACGTCAGTGATGCGCTGTGAGGTCACAACATTACCTCCAACGACAGCAGCAGTCTTGCTTGGCGACAAAATGCTGGACGATGGGACACGAATGTCAATTGGCGTCAGGCATCCCTGGTTCAGTGGCACATCTGCATTAATCATGCAGCGCAGACAGTAGATGATGGCTGAGTGAGTAATAGCAATAGGAGCGTTCCAGCTTCCATACACCTCAGGGCCTGTGCCCTGGAAATCGAAGACAGCTGATCCATCCGTACCATCGATGGTGACCTTCAATCGAATGGGGGTACCATCATCCATGTAGTCGACCGACTCCAATGGCTGGCCATTGAACTTCTTATATAGCTCCTTAAGAAGATTGCGCACAGCAGACTCGGCGGTTGCCTGGATGGCGTACATGTACTTTTGCACGGTCTGGGTTCCATATTCGTTGAACAGAGTCTGGATCAAGCTGATTCCACGGGTGTTGGCGGCAATCTGTGCCTTCAGATCGGACAAGTTGTCGCTGAGGCAGCGTGCCCCAGCGCAGCCGGGGTATTGCGAGGGCTTTGTTACCAGCAACTCGATCAAACGTGCCTCATCCAAGACACCATCACTAACAATCTTATCACCTTCGATGGCGGCGCCTTCTTGCCACAACTCAGTGGATTTGGGTGGCATTGATCCAGGTAAGATGCCACCAATATCAGCGTGATGACCACGAGAAGCCACGTAAAACATGATCTCGGAGCCACCAGGTCGGTCAAAGACCGGTGTAATGACCTATCAACATATTAGTACCTGAGGCAGAGTATTCAGTGTGAAGATCACTTACTGTAATATCGGGCAGATGAGTGCCTCCGCAACTGGGGTGATTGGCCACCAGAACATCACCATCCTTCAAGTTGCCTAGCCACTTCTCATGCTGATAACGAACGGCAAATTGCATCGATCCAAGATGAACCGGAACATGGGGTGCATTGGCCACCAAGCCTCCATCGGGGGAGAATAGAGCGCAAGAGAAATCTAGCCGCTCCTTGATGTTAGTTGAAACGGAGGTCTTCTGTAGCGTACGACCCATCTGCTCTGCGATGGACATGAAGCGATGTCCAAAGATAGTAAGCCTTATGGGGTCAATTTCCGATGACAGGGCGCTTCCGGAAGATGTTGGTTCGTCATTGAGATCGATGACAATGCAGGTGTCGAGCAGGTTCGCCACTGCGTTGGGGGCCACGACAATTGTTTGGGTTTGATCAATGATGACAGCGGGGCCATAAATGCGGGAATCTTTCTCCAATTCACCTAGAAGGTAAACTGGTGTGTCGATCCTACTCGACTGGCCGAAGTAGGCTGAAGTAGTGTTGTTCGGAGCCGTTGCGACATCCCGTATATTGGCTTCCTTCAGTTGAACCAAGGGACTTTGCTCGGTCCGAACCTTGGATGAAGCGATAGTTCGCACTCGAACGTCATCAACAAGAACAGGTCGGTCAGAGTTGAAGTTGAATTCGCGACGATGACGAATACGGAATTCCTCCAGGAAATCTGCCGAGCTCTCGGGCTTCAGGATCATCAGACTGGTATCGGAACCTTCGTATCGCATGTTCATGTATTTCTCGTGGCGCACTTGAGTGGAAGGGAAGCCTTGGGATTCCATATCCTTGGTTGCTGCTGCTGACAAGTCATCGAGATGTTGAACAAGGGCAGATTGTGAAGATAGGTAGGTGGATGAAACAGGCTCTTGCGACTCCTTGACAACCTCTGCCAAAGCAAGGCCGTACGCTGACAGAACGGAAGAATACTTGTGAATGATGATGCGGGAGATTCCGAGCGTTTTGGCCACTGAGCATGCGTGCTGGCCACCAGCACCTCCAAAGCATGCCAAATGATGAGATGCGGTCTCAAAGCCACGAGCTTCTGTGAGGTTACGGATTGGTCGGGACATAGACTCATCTGCGACATTAAGGAAACCAAGGGCAACTTCCTCCGGGGAAAACTCTGACTGGCCTTGCCGTCGGCGTTCAATGTTGACTTTTTGTGTGAGTTCATTGAACAGACGTGCAGTCGTCTCTGTGTCCAGGGCTTCGTTCTCATTCGGGCCGAAGATCTTCGGGAAGTACTCTGGTAGAAGACGGCCTAGGAACAAATTGGCGTCTGTCACTGTGAGAGGGCCTCCCTTTCGGTAGCATGCCGGACCAGGATGAGCACTTGCAGACTCGGGCCCGACATAGAACAAGCCATTGCGCCAAGTGAGAATGGAGCCACCGCCAGCAGCGACAGTGTTGATATCAAGCTGAGGGGACTGGATCATCACGCCTGCAACCTTGGATGCAAATACATGTTCAAGGTGACCGTCAAATCTAGAGACATCTGTGCTAGTGCCACCCATGTCGAAGCCAATAACGGGTGTCTTCTCAGTCGGATCCCAACTGGTGGCTGCAAAGCCGACCACGCCAGCTGCGGGCCCAGACAAAATCGCTTTTAGCCCGCTAAATTTGCGGAAATCGACCAGTCCACCATCTGATTGCATAAACTCGAATCGGCAGTCTTGTTGACACTCTAGTCCACCTTCAAAGCTACAAGATATAGAGTCGATGTATGTCTTGATAACAGGTGTGAGGTAGGCATCGGCGGCGGCCGACATGCCACGAGGCACGATCTTAATCATAGGTTGAAGTTTTGAAGAGAGGGTGACCGAGAATCCCATGTCCTGGGCGAGCTCACCGATTTGACGCTCATGTTCAGGATATGCGTAGGAATGCAATAACGCTACAGAGATCGACTGAATCCCTTGTTCCTTCAGTCGTTGTAGCTCTGTCTTCACCTGGACGAGGTCTAGTTCTTGCACAACACGGAATTTCTCGCCGGTGATTCCCTCTACCAACCGACAATCGGAAAAGCATTCGCTGTCAGCAGAAGGATGACAGGACAGCACACGTTCGTTGACTTCGACAACACTTTCCGGAAGTACTCCGGGGCGAGCCATTGATAGATCAAAAATGGCCGGGCGAGACTGGTCGCCAATTTTCAATAAATCTCGAAATCCTTTGGTTGTGAATAGTACTGAACGAGCGCCCTTGCGCTCGAGCAAGGCATTAGTTGCAACTGTTGTACCCATGCGTAGACAACCAATGCGGTCGAGTTTCAATGGTTTGCCTCGAGGATGTGACTCCCCGGTGGCTAATTCTAAAATCTGACGAATGCCCTCAGTCGGGGCATCTTGGTAGTGAGAAGGATCAACAGAGAGAAGCTTCAAGATAATGTCGGGGTGGCCAGGTTGAATCGCGTGGACATCAGTAAATGTGCCACCACGATCGATAGAGATAGTGATCTTCCCTGAGTCAGACATTGTGACTTAGTTTGAGCTGGGGAAGATGTAAGGTGGGTTCAAGAAATGAAAAGGGAAGAACAACAAATAAAGATGATCAGAAGGGAACCGTAATCATTTATGTCACAGAGCTCGTCCCGATATCCCAGCATATCTCCAATCATCGCCAATGATCATCACGCTGTTACCCATTAGATGCATGTCACGTGTCGGACCGATGGCTCCCGTTTCGGCTTCCTCGGGCCGACACCTCCACAGCTTGATAAGCCGGGGTTTAGATTGAGGGTGGAGGGGAAGATAGGGGGCTCATATGTGATTCTAATACCGATAAGAAGAAGAATACTAATCGTAGCATTTTGTGGAGAAATTGGAGAAATTGATCCTGATATATATATGTAGGCCTCAGACATCAATTATGTGTACGGGTAGTATAATCTTGGAAGCTATATAAACACAAGGTACTAAGCATTAAACATTACACAACACAACTATAGCATGATTTGTAAGTAATATGTATTTGTTCTTATCGCTTTAAAGTATTCTCAATCCAGTCAGTATCCATATCAATGTCGATTTGATCCAAAGCACCTTCCCAGAGTGCTGGATCATCGTTTAGATCGAACTGGAAGGCAATATCCCGGAAAGAAGGGAAATCTGGCTGCTGTGGCCAGTTATAATTAAGTACCTGTGAAGCTGCCAACTCAGCACTCGGATCTGGAATATCGTCTGACGGATTTCCACCGTTTTCGGTCATCGGCGTCACAGGGGCTTTTTGGCCTGCAATAAGAGAACTTGTCGTGTCGGTATCCTTTTCTTCGGCAGGTCTAGGTCCAATGGCCGCCCGTAGTTCCAACAGTAATGAGTGACGCGAGTCCAAATATGTATTTCCCCGATCTGCCATACCTCGAAGAAGGTTCAGTGCGGTCTCCATGGCCCGGGCGCTGGTTTCATTAGGCGGAAACGCAGCATTCACCATGACAAGTAGGAGTGCAGCGGAGAATATATATTCACCATCGAGGTATCCATATGTAGCTAAGAGTTACATTTAATCATCAGATACTTTCATGACAGTGGGAATGGGCTTGTATTGCGATAGCGTACCAATGAGATTATGTTTTGCAGCTGCATCCATGATCACAGTGGTTGCTCGCGCGGCTGTGATGCAGCTGTCAATGACGGCGACAGTATTGGGAGCCAGCCCTTCTTTCCAATCTTCTGTTGCGGATCTAAGGGCTTCCGCATCAAGTCGCCGTTGGATGATATAGAAGACCAACGGGCGTGCAGTCATGTTCACACATGAGTAGAAATGCAAGTTGATTGAGACAGACTCTCGGTTGATATGGGTATCAAGGGTAGTAAAATCGATGCGGAGCCGGTCTGGGACCTGTCGCAGCCAGCCAGAAAGGTCATTGGTGATACTTTGGACAGAAGCAACGAGGTTGGATCCAGATCCAGGTTTCTTTCTGTAAATTTCTGATGCCGCCATCTAGGTGAGCTTGGCGATACAGCAAAAAGGATAGAGGGGTTGGGGGGGGGGTTCTACCTTCTCCAATCCGTCCCAATATACGGGACAGCTGTGTATAATGGGTAAGAACAGTCGATGGCCATGGGTCGAAATTCGATCCACCCTAAGTGGAAGAAATCAAATCAGCTAATATCTGGACATACCATGGAAGGCAACATACTACAGTTGTGGGCCAGGTTATCCCAATGTCTTCATCATGAATCGTAATAGGATTACCAGACTTGACCGAGAGTAGCCTATCCATAAGTATGAGTGTTGTTTTCTAAAATTTAAGAGAACTGGCCAAATTACCGGTCTAAGCTGTAGACAGACCACCAAGCCCGTCGTCGACGGTTGCGATCTGATTCACTTATTGCGGGATCAGACACCTCTTGATGTAGGCCTAGGGAAATAGCCATGCGCAGAGCAAGGCCGATCTGACGTCGTTAGCGGTACAGCAGAAATATAATCGAAGTAATACATACGTAGAGGAAGGCTGCGTCCCGCCTGTTCAGATTCTGCATATAGTATGCCACATAGCATAGCACCTCAACAAAGAGAATCGAGCCCTCTTCGTGAATATCTGGCAAGAAACGTAAGGCATGTTTGAAATACTTGAAGCCTGGAGGACCTTCCTCGCCAATCCATTGGTTCACACTGTACATCAGGCCAAAGGAAATAACCAACAGTGTCTGGCAGTATACTAGGCAGGATTCACGGTGTGAAAAGTCAAGTGGTTGGTGATAGACTAGATCGAGCCGTTCTTCAAACTCCAAGGGTTGAATAAGGGAGAAGATTGTACCGATGTAAGCGTATTGTACCCAGAAGAGTCGCTTGGCAAACTCGAAAGGTGGTAATTGAGGCAATGAGCCACCAACTGGTCTTCTTAATGATGAAGGGTCATCATAAAGTGGGCGCACATCCCATGCAAGGTTTTTGGAGCCAGGATTAAGCCGTTTCGCGAGATGTGTGGTGGACGAGGCACCCACGAAATCTGAAGAAAGATTAGTAGAAAGATAAGACGAACAATTATCTTCTAGCTTAGTACGCACGATGTTCTCCAGATCGATTCAAGAACAGATTGTCCGTCCCTTTGTACCACCAGTCGTCGCGTTCTGGTGGCCCCTCATCCGAGTAGCGATTGGATATCGATGGCTCACTTGACGGCGTTGGATGACTACCTTCTATCCTAAGTGGTTAAATTGCGTCCAGATGATGGATGATTTAGGTATATATGTATGAAGCCTACCTCGCGACGCAGGAGCCTGCGATTGTAATTGACGATAGTAGCTGCAAAGAGAGTCAAGTCAGTACTAACTCTTTTCAACAATCTTGGACCGACTTCACCTTTCCGTTATGGAGACTCGCTTTTCAGCCTCTGAATATACACAATGCTTTCCCACATCCACGCATGCTGCACAAGGGTGGGGTGGGTTGCCGGCGCAGCGAGTTTTTCTAGACCGGCAGCGGTTACAGGCTACCATCGACCTTCTTGAGCGATCTTCTGACCGACGCGTGATGCCTGCATTTCCAAGGACCATTTCTTTCTTTCTTTCTTTCTTTCTTTCTCTTTCTTTTTTTTGTTTTTAAAAGTGTTTAGATCTGTTAGATCTACACAGGTAGACTGGTGAAACGTAAGATGACACACAACTCAGACCGGGGCGGAAAGCCCCGGATTCTCCGCTTATCTTTTCGGCCCGACGTCCCCAGGGCCATACACCTACCTAAGAATACTATGTAACTACCTATATATCTACATGGTAGGTATGATATGGAAGGTAAGTGCCTAGATTACTTGGTTTGGGTCATTATCCATGCATATCTAGGTGTCTAGGTACAAAATGAAATGATGGATTCTGATATATATCTAGGAGTCTAGGACTTTCATTGTCTATACACCATCACTCCCACTTGCATCGCTATCTCTAGAGAGCTAGACTGTATAAGATTATCAAAAACGACAACGAGTAAAGACGAAAGACGAAAGACGAAACAATTGATTAAAATATAGCCACGCCATTCGGGGGGCTTGCAACTCCACCAGGAACCTGATGAATGTGGTCAGTTTCAAGATTGGGAAATAGGAGTGGAATCTCTCCACCTTTAATGGCACGCTACTAAAGAAAAAAGTCCAGCGTTCTCTCTTCCGACACTCCTGGCTGAGCTGCTCGAGATCGAATAATTCCCCGATTGGGACACCCCAGCCTGCCAGCAACCACTCATGGAGAAAAAAGGACTGATTCTGGCATGGGTATGCTTCAAAGCTCGGCATATCTCCTACTACAGCAGCCAGTTCAAGATCCCAAATCCAGCGCAGCATGGCCTCGGATGATTCTACCCCAATTACTGGGGGTGCTGCATAATCGGCCAGTTGCTGACATTGCGCCCGTGACAGCTGTTCGTAGGCTTGAGTCCAACCCGTGCGAATAAATAGGATATCTCCCGGTCGGAATGTGGTGTTCTGACTAACAGCTACCTCTTGGAGCACCGTAGCCGGGATTGACTGGGTTTCAAAGCAATTCACTTCTTTCCCGTTCGCCGCTGCCCAGCCTGCATAGTCCAAGAGAACGCCTCGCCCAACAATCCCGCCGTTTTCGACCCATACTGAGGGAGGATCAGTGAAAGTCAGAATCTTCCAAAGCAAAGGGAATTACCGTGAATGCCGTTTCGAGTGGAATTCTGGATATCCTCCTGGGTACACCCATTGAAGTAGGTTCCTTGTTTTGATCCATAATGTCTGAAGCCATCCCATTGGCTACTACTCTGTGTATTAAAAACCAAGATATCATCGTTGACTGCTCGGGGAGCCTTGTTCTTGATAATGTGCTCAAAGGCAGATCGTCCAAAACAGGGGGTTGCCATGCTATTGAGAGCCCAATCTGTTGAGACACGCTTGCCATCAACAATCTCGCGAGCAGCTGCGGCGGTATTCTCCGGCGTCAATAGATTGAGCATGCCCATCTGATCTTGATCCCCAAACATCCCCCAAGCATTCCCTGGAGGTCCATCTTTGCGCAGAGGTAGGGCATCGAATGCTGGTCTTTGGGGCGACATTGTTAGATAAAGGTTGGGAGAGGAAATAGTTATTTGGATTCGATTTGAAAACATTGGGAGAATTTAAAGTGTTATGAGTGTTTACCCCGCATATTGCTTCGGCATTGCCATATCAAATGACCTGGTACCCAACCCATCTAATGTTACAAGGGTACATACATAGGTACATAGATGATCAAGGTTCCAGACGGTTGGAACTAGAAGGGACAGGAGCACAAGGCTCAGTAAATCAATACCAAGCTTGTCAATGAAGGTGTTAGTGTACTCTTTGTTGAAGCTGCGCCCGCAATGAAGTCCGAGTGTTGGGGTAAGTGAGAAAATGATAGAATGGTAAATTACACAACAGACAACTAACTAAACAATGAATAACTAACTAACTAGTTAACTATTGAGTCAATCAACCTGAAAAAAAAAAAAAGGAAAAAGGAAAAAAGGTATTACATTGCATAGAAGAGATGAGAGACTTACAACACTGTTGTAGAGTCTTAGACCTAGGAGAATATATATTCCCTATTAGGAATTTGAAAATTAACGACTTCAACTTTTATTGCAGGGATCGAATCTAAAAATAAATGATAAACACGAAGGTACATATGTAGCTATATTTATATGTATTGTACTTCTTATAAAATACCTATAATTACCTATATAACCTTGGAAGGCTATGTGTGTTGTACTAAGTTGTGTACACGTATATTAATTATGAGGCACGTGATCCATAGGACATCTGCCACACACACACACATCCGACATTTCTCACAGTTGCTGTGGTAGCCTTGATCCTTTTTTCTTCTTCTTTTTTTTTTTTTTTTAGTTTTCACTCCCCACATACCCAATTTATAATGGCTGGATAAGTGGACCCGTCCTGAGCCAGTCGCAGATTTCGAATTCAGCCCCCTAGAAGACGCGGCCGATCGTTTCCTGACGCCTTGTCGTCATTCCCCCCTCCCGGCAATCGCCACCCCCAGCCGCCACGCTGTGATTGCTTGGCGGAGAGGTCTTTGCCGGTCCTTTTTTGAGGTGTGGATTACAGAGTACACGGTATGGCGATTCAAGATCCTTCAGGGGGGTTGTTTCGGATGGTAGAAGGGAGATGTACCCGGTACAACAAATATTAATTGGAGGAGCCTGTGATGGGTCATAGGGGGACATCTATTGACCAATGTTATGGTGCATTGCGTCGTCGACCCGCAGCTTTTTACATGTTCGACGAGTTATGTTCGTCGCAGCAAGGCTCGAATCACAGAGTCCCCTCCCCAAAAAAAGAAATCCATTCCCGTATGTGTACGGTGGACGGTGTACGGTGGACGGAGTATAGGAATATACAATATACTCATATGATTTAAAGGGGAATATCTTTTGGTGGTTGGGATCCATGCCTCAATTATGCGTATATGCCATATATATGCATAGGCAGGGGAAAAAGTCCATTTACTCTCTCCGTACAAAGTATGTCCCTTGTGGATCCAAAAGCAAAGGGTTGACGAACAACAATGTCTGATGTGCTGGGGAGGAGGGAGGGTTCCACCCTTCACCCTTTCACAGCCTGCATCGCTGCCACCTCCAATCAAATTCTGCACCAAAAATATCTCCTGGATTACGGGAATTACGGGATTTACCTGGATTTACTACTCTGACTACTCTGGATGGCATCTGGATTCTCTTACTCTCTTCTTTGAACCATCCACTCTCGTTTAGGTTGTCTTAATAGGTTTGATCTCTACACCTGCCTTGCTTTCAAACCCACCTTACGAGATCATTGTTGTGCTGTTGTGCTGTTGCTATTCAGGCAATTGTACCCTTGATCTCTTTTTCTTTTGATTCTTGACATACCCCTTGTCTATTCTCATTTCACCAGAGCCGGAGAATAAGGGAACACACATCATGTCTTTTCCCCCGAGAGGCACATCGCCTCATTCACCCCATTCAGGGAACTCATCCCATTCACCCCAGACAAGCGAGACTAGCATGTATGGTCCACGAGAGGTGAGTGACAAATAGTCCCATGACGAAAAACAAAAACAAAACAAAACAGATCAAAATGGATCAAAACAACAGCAGATGCTAATAGTTTGTTCAGCAGCAAGCATACGGCTACGAGGACAAACCCGAAAACATCGACAGCCAGCAGTCTTTGCTATACCGAAACCAACCTAGCCCATTCAACGCTTCCTTCGATGACCCATATGCCTCGACCGATTCCCTCCGTCGATACACACTGCATGATCCAGGAGTCACCATCTTCCCAGATGGTCCGTACCAGGAGTCCGCAGGGGGACTCAACCGTCGCTCGGGTATTCAATCACCGATGTCCGAGACTCCCTCAGAAGCCTGGCAGAACCGACAAGCACCTGGGTCAGGCCTGCGGCGTTATGCGACGCGAAAGATTAAGCTGGTCCAGGGTTCCGTCCTCAGTGTTGACTACCCGGTCCCCAGTGCGATTCAGAACGCGATTCAGAAGGAGTACCGGGAATCAGAGGAGGGTTTCCCGGAAGAATTCACCCATCTGCGTTGTAAGTCTTCACATGAAATATGGAGTATGCGACTGGAACTAATCGCATACAGACACTGCGGCTACCTGTGACCCTGACGAGTTCACCCTACGGAACGGATACAACCTGCGACCGGCTATGTACAACCGACACACCGAGCTTCTTATTGCCATCACCTATTACAATGAAGATAAAGTTCTGACCGCGCGGACGCTTCACGGTGTTATGCAGAACATTCGGGATATCGTCAATTTGAAAAAATCGGAATTCTGGAACAAGGGTGGTCCGGCCTGGCAAAAGATTGTGTGCTCCTTAGTTTTCGATGGTATTGATCCCTGCGACAAAAATACCCTCGATTTGTTGGCCACAATTGGTATCTACCAAGATGGTATCATGAAGCGTTCCGTCGATGGCCGGGAAACCGTCGCACACATCGTGAGTTCCCACCGTCCTCTCGATTTGCCTAGGCAGAAATCTATCATCCCTCTATCCCGAGGTTTCCATAGTCGACGAAAATCCACTAACAAGACCTAGTTTGAATACACTACCCAACTCTCCGTCACATCCAACCAACAATTGATCCGGCCTCAGGGCAACGAGTCGTCAAACCTTCCTCCGGTTCAAATGATTTTCTGCCTGAAGCAGAAGAACAGTAAAAAGATCAACTCCCACCGCTGGCTTTTCAACGGTTTCAGTCGAATCCTTAACCCCGAAGTGGTGATTCTAATCGACGCCGGAACTAAGCCGGGAAAGAAATCTCTCCTTGCGTTGTGGGAGTCCTTCTACAATGATAAGAACTTGGGTGGATCTTGCGGTGAGATCCATGCAATGTTGGGCAAAGGATGGAAGAACTTGATGAATCCCCTCGTCGCCGCACAAAATTTCGAGTACAAGATATCTAACATTCTCGACAAACCGCTAGAGAGTGCCTTCGGGTACGTTAGTGTGTTGCCGGGTGCCTTCTCTGCGTACCGCTATCGCGCTATTATGGGTCGTCCCTTAGAGCAGTACTTCCACGGTGATCATACACTCTCTAAGCAGTTGGGCAAGAAGGGTATTGAGGGCATGAACATCTTCAAAAAGAATATGTTCCTTGCTGAGGACCGTATCCTATGTTTCGAGCTTGTGGCAAAGGCCGGATTCAAATGGCATCTAACCTACGTGAAGGCGTCCAAGGGCGAGACCGATGTGCCAGAGGGTGCAGCCGAGTTTATCAGTCAACGGCGTCGTTGGTTAAACGGTTCGTTCGCTGCCAGTTTATATGCAATGATGCATTTCGGGCGGATTTACAAGAGTGGCCACAATATCCTCCGGCTGTTTTTCCTACATATCCAGATGACGTATAACTTCATGGGTCTTGTCATGACCTGGTTCTCTCTCGGTATGTCTCGAATCTCATGTTCTTTGGTGAATCGTTATACTAACTCGTGAACTACCTAGCCTCGTTCTGGCTGACTACTACCGTCATCATGGATCTTGTTGGAACTCCCAGTGATTCCAACAAGAACAAGGGATGGCCCTTTGGTAACGCAGCCTCGCCAATCGTCAACAACTTCCTAAAGTATGGATACGTATTCTTCTTGATGCTGCAGTTCATTCTGGCGCTAGGAAATCGACCGAAAGGGTAAGTCAATATCTGGAGGAATTACCGCACAACGTCAAATCTGACCTTTCCAAACAGTTCGCGTCTCGCATACACGCTTTCGTTCATCTACTTCAGTATCCTTCAAAGTTACATCATTGTTCTCTCGTTCTACCTTGTCAAGAACGCCTTCAGTGGAGGTACCCTTGATTTCTCTCTGGACCAAGGTGTTGGCCACTTCCTCTCGTCTTTCTTCGGTTCTGATGGGGCCGGTATTGTTCTGATCGCTTTGGTTTCGACTTACGGTATCTACTTCGTCGCAAGTTTCTTGTACATGGATCCCTGGCACATGTTCACCTCCTCCTGGGCGTACTTTGCTGGCATGACCTGTTCGATCAATATCCTGATGGTCTACGCTTTCTGCAACTGGCATGACGTTTCCTGGGGTACCAAGGGTTCTGACAAGGGTGATTCACTTCCCGTCGCTGAGACGAAGAAGGATGATGCCAAGTCAAACTTCATTGAAGAAGTCGACAAACCCCAAGCCGATATTGATAGTCAGTTTGAATCGACCGTCAAGAGAGCGCTGGAGCCGTATGTCGAGCCTGAAGATAATGATGAACCCAGCATGGACGATGGTTATAAGGCTTTCCGAACCAACCTGGTGTTGATTTGGATTTTCAGCAACCTTATCCTCGCACTGTGTATCACCAGTGAAGGAATTACCCGTCTCTGTCTCACGGTATGTATCTTGTCCAACTCTAGGCTATGGCATTTATTAACATATATAGAACACTTCTACCATTCGCACCTCCAAATACTTCGCCGCTATTCTGTGGACGACCGCCGGTCTGTCGATTTTCCGCTTTATTGGATCTCTCTGGTTCCTTGGCAAGTCTGGTATCTTGTGCTGTGTCTCTCGCCGT